TGATGGAACCTTACTGTTTGCTTTCTTTCTATCTTTTGAATACTCCTTTTCTATGGGGAAAAGTTCTTTCATGGTAAATCAGTTCCTGTGGGGCTTCCACCAGTTGTACAAGGCATGGGGACAAATGCCAGCACAATGTAATATAGTATGAGTTAAGGGAATACATCAAGACCAAAGTACACACAGTTTCCCATTTCTGTAGCATCCCTACAGAGAGGCATCCCATGTTCAAGAGGGATGCTGTATATAACTTGGGCTTTGTTCTAGTGGAGAGGTCTCTTTCTCCATTGCTCTCCCTTCATGTAGGGCTTTGATGATATCCAGTTTATCAGGAAACAGACTGCTTGGGGAATCAAGCTGCCTCAACATCATGCTAGCCACTTATAGGGATTGTCTGGGAAAACCAGAGGTCCTGTATTTTAGGAGGCAGCTGAGGACCTTGATCTTTTTGGGTGATATAGTCCTCTAGCCATGAGAAGGAAGCCATTGTTCCCATGGGAAGCTGAACATGAGCACTTCTCATCCAGCTGGTAAGGGCTCTGGGCTAGCCCATTGTTCAGGCATTCCAGGGTGAATATCGAAGGTCATTTTTTTTTAATTCTCACCTGAGGACATCTTTTCACTGAGAGAGAGAGAGAGACATCAAGACATCTATTGGTTGCCTTCTGGTATGCACCCTGACCCTTTCCAGGAATCAAACCCATAATCTTTCAGTCTATGGAACAATGCTCCAATGAACTGAGTCACACTGACCAGGGCCTAGGGTCATTTTTTGGGGGCAGTGCTGCTCCTTCATAACAATCTATCCCTAAGACTGTTAGTGCTCATCAGGTATGTCTGGAATAGGAAGAGAGCAATGTCATTTCCACCCAATCTTTAGAATATAAATTAATTGAATTTGTCTTACTCCCTCAGGGATGAGCCAGATTGTCACCCATTTCCCATCCCCAACCTCATTTATTAGCAATAAGTTCTATAGAGACCTAGAGATTGTTTTGCCAGCTAATCCTCCATTCATCCTTTGACGTTCAAGTTGGAAAAGGAGAGGCGTGTATTGATCCTCCTCATCTCACCCTCTTCAGATTCCTTGGTGCATGAATTCCTTGGAGGATCCAGCTAGGGCAGAGGTGCCAAGGGCCACTACTCCTCACTCAAAGGGCCCCTGCCATTAGCAGTCAGGTCAGCAGCAAACATCAGTTTGATACACTCTTATAAAAGCCACAAGCCAGTGGTTACAGAGAGCAAGCACTTCCTTGGCTATTTTTGCCCCTTACACCAGACACGAAGGAAAAGGATTTACATTTGGTCAAAGAAGACAGACTGTGGTGACCTCCCTAGCTATGGGGGTGGTGGAGGACTGTGCCTTAGCCTCAGCTTTCTCTTGTCTGAATGGAACTCAGTCACCAAGATTCCAGGGGACCATGGAGATGTGAAGGAGTTCTATTATTTTGAGTAGTCGCAGGCAAACTGATATTTGTAATCTTTTGGGCAGACGGTAGGGTGAGAAAGATGAAATACTTTGAGCTCTAGAGAGAACGGGGTTGTCTCCTCCAGGGGAGCTGCTCCTCCCTGGGGTCCTCGTGCAGACCTGAATGCTAATGGTGTTTTGGGTCCTGACAATTGTGCTAGCTATTCTGTATCACTGTTCCTTCCATTCCAGCAGCTTTCCTGGAGAACTTTTTCTGTCCCTAAGACGGCCCTGAAATTTTTATAGCCTTTAGATGCCACAAAACCTGGATTTGTTCATGGTTTCAGGCAAACTTCCAGGAAATTTATCCAAAAACCAATAACTCAGAAATTTTCAATAATTTTATAGGGTGATTTGAAGTGGATTCAGAACCTCTAGAAAATCTCCTCTGATTTGATGCACCAATTTAAGATAGGAGTGGGCCTGTCTGTGCCTCCTGACTGGTGAGGCTAGGTAATTTCACTTGTACTAGGGAGCCCAGCATTAACCACTCCGTGTCATCTGCAGTCACAAATCTCCACTTGGTTGTATACTGTCTTAGCAATTCCTCCAGTCAGAGTAGCTCTGGCTGTTGAGGAAGCCATTTGTTTGAGTTTACAAGTTGTTTTTATTTTTAAAATGATTTCAGAAGTGTTATGAAGTGGCAGTCCTTTCTCTTGAATTTTCTTGTAAGGAATCTCAAAGAAAAAAATTAAGGTAAAATACCAGTGTTTTGTAAGCTGATAACATTGAAAATAAGCCATTTACTAGAACAAGGAAGGGCATGGTTCAGTAGGAAGGGGTGGTTAGATAGCTGAGTGGATTCAGTTGTTAATTGGACTAGGGATAATGGAATTAGGGTGGGGATGATCGGACTAGAATTTTGAAGAGACCTCAGTGTGGGCTGTGATCATCAATACAGGTTTCATTTGGAGATGTTTTCTTGAGAGAAAACAAGACCATCAGAGAGACCTTCCCAAGAAGGTGATATTTTAACTGAGAATGAGAGGGTAAGAGAGGTGCCTGTGTGCAAAGACCATCAGTCAGGAGAACACTGGGATTTTTTTTTTTTTTTGAGATACATCCAGGAACTCAGTTGAAACAGAGAGCAAAGGGTAGAGTAGGAAGAGGTACAGTTGTAAGGTAATGGTGGACCCCATCATGTAGGGACTTTAAGGTCATTTGAAGGATTCTAAGTAGGATGGAGTAGCTATCTCAAAGTTTCAGAGGGAAAGGTGAAATAAAACATTTGGAGAATGGAAAGAAAACATTCGTACTTAGGAGAGTGCAGTAAGGGGACTACTTGAAATTGCGGTAATGAAATAGTTTACTGATGCATCTTTTTTTTCTAACCTTAATGAAAATATTCCTTTTTTTTTCACTATTAAGAATGATACTTGCTATTTATTTTTTACGTTGAAATTCTTTACCTTACTTACAGAAGTTTGTTTTCTTTTTAAATAAATTTGTTGTGGTATATTGAATAATAAAATTATATATAAATTTCAAGAGTACAATTCTATGATATATCATCTGTAAATTGCACATGTGAAGTTTTTCTTAATGTTTTACAAGTAAAGAATTTTAGAATCATAAACAGATGTTGAATTTCATCAAATGCTTTTTGGTACCTATAAGATAATAATTCATTTTCTTTGTTAACACTCTAAATTATATCATTAGATTTTCTGATGGTGAATAATCCTTGCATTCCTGGGACATATCTGTTTGGTTATGATGTATTATTCTTTTACTATATTGGTGAATTTGATGGGATAATATTCTATGTAGATGCTTTCATCTCCACCTACAAATAAAGATGATGTGTAGCATTATCTACTGTTGTCTTTTTCAGAGGTAAGAATGGCCTCATCTGAGTAGCTCTCCTCTCTATACTCTGAAAGGATTTGCATAATAAGAGTTAACTGTTTATATAAACTTTGCTAGATTCACCTGTAAAATGATGTTACTCATGGGTTCTTAGGGTCATACTTTGAACTAGATTTTTATACTGGGGTATTAAAGCTTTCTAATTTTTCTGACTCATTTTGGATATATTCCCTCTCTAGAAAATTGTGTTTTTTTTCCCCAAAATTTTGCTGTCAAATTGCTAAGATTGTCTTTTGAGGTTTTGGAAATTCTGTACCATATCCCTAGATGTGTGTGCAGTTTGGTTCATAGTATCTTTATTTTTACCTCTCTCTCTTCTCATGATCAGTTATGCGAGGGTTGTTGCTTTTATTAGTCTCTTCAAAGAACATTTTTTATTATCATCCCTCTGTTTTACATGTATTATCTTTGACTAATAACATATTTATTCTTTGTTATTTCTTTACTCTTCCTCCTCCTTATATTTTCTAACTTCTTCAATTGAATGTTCAGTTCATTTATTTTCAATCATTCTTTCTTTTACTTTCAATAAAATGAAATATCTTTTACTGTTTTTAATGCTTTCCCCCTAAACTTTATTTTTAAATAAACATACAAAAATTTATGAGAGTCATCATAGCTTGATGAATTATCACATTAGCTAATCTGATGGCTGTGTAACTAGCACTTAGGTTCAGGACAGATTGTAACATCACTCTGGGAGCCCTTATACCCCTACTCGCAATTGCTCTCTTTGCCAAAGGTGACCAATACTCTGACTTCTGACTTAGATTACCTTGATGCATTTTAATCTTTGAGTAAGTGAAATGAAGGAATACATGTTATTTCAAGTATGGATATTTTTGTTCATTATTATGTTTATAAAATTATTCCTATGTTTAAATGCAGTTGTTTATCTTCATTGATGTGTAGTGTATTCCATTGTATGAGCACACCACAATATATTGGCTGATTTTACTGGGGTGGACACTTGGGTTGTTTCTAGAATTTGGCTACTAGAAATGTTGTTATGAACATTCTTGACCAGGACATTCAGTGCACAGCTGTCCATATTTTCTAGGCACGTGATCATAGTTGGATCATAGCACTTGCATATGTTCTCTTTTGTTCAGCTTTAGTAGATACTGTCCAAATCATTCACCAAACGGAATGCAGTGATTTCTCTTCTCTCTACTAAGTTAAGAAAATTCCAATTCTTCCACGCCCACACCATTGACTTGTATTGTCAATGTTATCAAATTTTACTTTCTTTGAGTGTGCAATAATATCCCAGAGTGGTTTCTTATTTGTAGTTTCCAAATAACTTTTTCTAAACATTAATTTTTAACCTTTCTGTATTCTTCTTTTTAGGTTTTATTTTAAACATTGCTCTGAGGACACTACATTTGGTGTATCCTAGCCAGGACTGGGTGATTCAATAAACCTCAAGGACAAAGCCAACTGAGGAACATCAATGAGTCTCAGACCGGGCAAAGATTCTTCCCACAGTAGACTCTCCTGGTGAATCAGCAAGCCTAATAAACATTATCTTCTAATTAGCATAAACGCCCACTGGTGGGTCCTGAGCCCTCATATATTCTAACCCAGTTTTGAAAAGCAGCATTTTGCAGCATCTTCAAGCATCTAAAACACATTTAAAACCTTTGGAATTTATTGCTTACTGATGGAAGCTATAAACTCTAAGGCTAATTGTGCCCAGAACCCAAATTGTAATATAATGATATTTTATCCAACCAAAGAAGAGTTTAATGATTTTGATAAATACATTGCTTCCATAGAAGCCCAAGGTGCCCACCGAGCTGGCCTGGCTAAGATAATTCCACCCAAGGAATGGAAAGCCAGACAGACCTACAATGATATCAGCGACATCTTGATAGCCGCTCCTCTCCAGCAGGTGGCCTCTGGGCGGGCAGGAGTGTTCATTCAGTACCACAAGAAGAAGAAAGCCATGACTGTAGGGGAGTATCGCCGCTTGGCAAACAGCGGCAAATATCGGACTCCGCCGCACGTGGATTTTGCGGATTTGGAGCGAAAATATTGGAAAACCCGCCCCTATGATTCGCCCATCTATGGCGCTGACGTCAGTGGCTCCCTGTTCGATGCACACACCAAAGAGTGGAACCTTGGCCACCTGGGAACCGTTCAGGACTTGCTGGAGCAGGAGTGTGGAGTTGTCATCGAAGGCGTCAACACACCCTACCTATACTTCGGCATGTGGAAGACCACCTTCGCTTGGCACACGGAGGACATGGACCTTTACAGCATCAACTACCTTCACTTCGGGGAGCCCAAAACTTGGTACGCGGTGCCCCCAGAGCACGGCCAGCGCCTGGAACGACTGGCCAGGGAGCTTTTCCCTGGCAGTTCCCGGGGCTGTGAGGCCTTCCTGAGGCACAAGGTGGCTCTCATCTCGCCCAGTGTCCTCAAGGAGAATGGGATCCCCTTCGGTCGCATCACTCAGAAGGCTGGAGAGTTCATGGTGACCTTTCCCTATGGCTACCACGCTGGCTTCAATCACGGCTTCAACTGCGCCGAGGCCATCAATTTTGCCACCCCGCGATGGATTGACTATGGCAAAGTGGCCTCTCAGTGCAGCTGCGGGGAGGCCAGGGTCAGCTTCTCCATGGACGCCTTTGTGCGCATCCTACAGCCCGAGCGCTATGAGCTGTGGAAAAGCGGGCAGGACCGCACTGTTGTGGACCACGTGGAGCCCACGGCTCCGGGCAGCAGGGACCAGAGCACCTGGAGGAAGAGCCCGGCGGACGGCAGAGCCGCGCTGGGCCTGAGGCACCTGCAGCCGCGTCGGGCCCCGAGCAACCCTCGCGCGGGGGAAGCCGGCGGTGCGCCTGGCGGCCGCGGCGGCGAAACTGTGCTCCAGGCGTCCCTGCTGCTCTCGCTACCCCGGGGCTCTGCCTCTGCTGCCCAGTGCGCAGCTGCCTCGGCCGGCTGCTCCTCTGAGGCCGACCGGTCCTCGCCGCCATTCCCGGGTCCATCTGCCCGGGATTTCCAGCCCACTGGCAGGTGTGGTCGTGGTCGTCGTCCTCGGGAACAGGGGTCTCAGGAGTCGATTGTTCAGGCCCGGGCTAAGAGGCGCCGCTCAGTGGGCACAGAGCGCACTGCTCCCGACTCCGAGGCCCTGCCTGTGTCCGAGGACAAACCCTCGCTGGACAACCCTGCCCCTCTGAGCCTGGAGACTCTCCATCCTGTTGTGGCTTCCGCATCCTGCTTTGCTCCAGTCTCCTAAGCCTAGGGGACGCCCACCTTGCTCCCCAGTGCTGTTTTGTGTGCAGAGTCATTGAGACATCTCAGAGCTTCAAGCAAGGTTTTAAGTCACTGGTCTAGCGTGAGACTTCCCTGGTTTTGCCGCATCTGGACTGGCTTAGTTGGTGGTGTTTACCAAGTGGGTCCTAGTTTGTTCTTCCTCTCAGACTCTGGAATGTCTTTGGACGCTGCTAACTCCTATGTCTGCATCTGACGTTTTATCCACTGGACACCCTTGTGTCTCTGTGAACCCTATGAGTTCCACTGAGTTCGCAGAAGCCTGATCTACCCAAGACTCGCGTCCTCTGGGACAACTCTGGATGTTGCCCAACTCTGGGCGTTGCTTCCGATGAGTCCCGGGCTTTGGTTCCCCCTCCGATCTCCCTGCTTTTTCCTCTTTCTCTCCCCCTCCCCATTTTAGGCAAAACTAGGCCCTTTTGACCACTTAGGTCAGTAGAGGCTCAGAAAATAATTTATGATCTTTGAGTCATCGATGTGTTTATAATGTTATCTATTCCCAGTATTTCCTCAAAAATATATTAAAGGCAACTAAAATTGGACTTTTCCACCCTATTAATGTCCATTCAACCAACTGAGGGGTTGAGGTTACTATTTTCTGCTCTTTTCTGAATAATTACATCAAAACGTTTTAAGCAAAACCTATTGTTATGGCCTGATAAAACTGTGTGGAGTCTGTGAATCCTTGGGGGATGGTTGTTGGGTTCTTCCTGGAAGGCTGGCTGGGGAATTTGATGTGTAGACTTTCTTAAGAATGACCTACTGAAAGTCAGCTGGTCACTTGGCTGATCAGTAGTCCACAGGTTGCTGGGAGAGGGGAGCAAGCAGAGGACAAAAGTGCCATCATTCAAATATCTCAAAGTCTCCACTGCTGTTTCATGTCTGTGTATATAATGGTTAATTTATTGATTCATCTCAATAAACAAGTCCATAAACAAATGAACGATCATTTCCATTGGTACTATGTGGGGGTGGGATGACACAGCAGAATTGACTGGGTCCAGCCTGGCTCCTGCTGATCAGTGAACATCTCTTAGAGCAGGACACCTTCCCACCACCCAGCTGACAAGAAGGGAGGTCCAGTGTTAACTTCCACTTAGAGGAAACAGCAGGTGTGATAGCTCTATCGTGGAATAGAGAGGAAGCCCATTTGCACCTGGGACATAGAATACAAGGAGACAGGCAGGATCCAGGGTATGTATGCAGGATCTTGTGAGTGACATAAAGCAGTTGAGTATTTCTCAACTTGAAATAAGAAGGCATTGGAAATTTAAAACAGCTCTTGATACGATACACACATTTCAATAATGAGCTTAGTTCTGTGGACAATGTGCAGGCAAGAGAAGTTAGAACATCTAAGTAATACAAGTGAGAATTGATGGTTACTTTGACTGAGGCATTATTACTGAAAAGGTACAAAAGTGGGCAAACTCAGAATACATTTTTGAAATTGAAAACAATCACTTGAGTACAGAGGAAAACATTTCAAAGAAGCAAACCACTCCTCCACTGCCCCAAGCTCTCCCTTACAGAACCTCAGTAAGGCTCAGGAACTTGAAGCACCTTATAAAATTGAAGGCAGGAGAAATGGAGAAGCAGTGATTGTTTGAAATTGTGAGGAGCAGCAAAAACCCATGTCCCATCCCTACCACCAAAAGGAAGTAGCTAGGCAACTTTCTTTTCTCCTGAAGCGACTGGAGATAGAAGTGTATTCTGTGGAAAATTGAAGGTGAGAGTCTGAACTCAGGGACTCCAGGCACAGTGGAGGATGGGAGAGAGATACTTCACACTGAAAAGGAGATTAGGCTGAATGTTGAGATTGTGGAACCAGAAGATGGAAGCAGACTGGTCTCCCTTGGAAGTGTGGAGGCCTGGAGAGCACCTGGCCTCACAGTCAATATTACATGGGCAAGAAATAAACTTTCATGTGGAAAGTAACTGAGATTGTTACAGGGTGCAGCCAAGAGGGGGGACCCCAAATGGGCATTTGAAATGGGGTCCAGAACTTAAGGTGTCCAGGAGATTTTAAGATGTCTCCATCCCCCCCACCCAGGGTGTGGGTTGGGGGAAGGGACAAATGGAGCAAAGCCATTGAGATCTGTTTTGCATAGCAACAGCCTTGCAGCTACCCTCTGGCATGGTCATTTAACATATCTATAGCCTTTGGCTGGTCGCTTAGATATGGTAAATAGCTGTGATCATCTCTGAGCCAGGGGGAATGGAAGTAACTTCCCCACCAACTCGTGACTGGGGCAGATCCCCCAAGCTACAGCGCCTGCCTGCGTGGGAGCTCAGAGAAGATTGGCTCCAGGACATGGGGCCACACCTGCCCAGACTCATGATGGCAGCCCAGTAAAGCTGGAAGGATACACTTGTGGCAAGTGAAGCCGAGTGTGGGAGGAGTCGGAAATGAGGCTGCAGAGGAAGATTGGCTGCAGGAATTTAAAACCCAGACTTGGCGGCCATTGGAGAGAGAGCCATGCGCAGCCCTGAGAGAGAGAACCATGTGCAGCCCTGAGGAGGAGAGAACCATGCGGCTTTAGCAGAATAGGGAGGACCTCAGCCATTGAGAGAGAGAACCATGCTGCTTTAGGAGAAAGAGAACCACGCGGCTTTGACGGAGTGGAGACTCCTGCATCCCAGAGAGAACCATGCTGCTTTAGGAGAGAGAACCACGCGGCTTTGGCAAAGTGGGGACTCTCCCCTTCCCGCAGCCCTGAGAGGGAGAACCACAAGGCCTGGACAGAGTGGGGACCCCCACAGCTTTAGAAGGGGAACCACCACCTGGTTTTAGCAGAGATCCCGCGACTCAGCCGAGGGTGCCGGGAACCCAGGGAGGTCTCCCAGTCGAGATGGAGGACTAACTAAGAACCAGAGGACTGCCTGAGCCATGGACTCCGCTTTCCTTTCCTGAGATACGGTACTCTGGACTGGGCAAAGGGGGAAGGAAGGAAGGACGGTGACTGTGTTTGTGGGTGTTTTAAGGGACTTTGGGATTTTGGATAAAGACATTAGGTCACTACTTTAAGTTTGAATAGCATTAAATAAACATTTCCTTTCCTTTTCATGAATCTCTGGCATTAAGAGATGTCTTTCCTCTGGCGGCGGACATAACGGACCCCGGGCCTTCTTTCAATAATAGTATATCGTCCAAGGCCCCCCTTGTCTGTTCTGTAACAAGATCTTTCTTTTTGGGGGGTGGGGATTTGGTCCTTCAACTTAGGTCAGTTGTGAATGTGGCAATACAGAGAAATAAAGGAATTCTGAGAAGTCTCTTTAAAGCAATAGTCTAGCTCAAATTCCTATTTTAAATTAAAAACTGAAAACCTTTTGTCATATTTCAGGAATATCACCATCTATGCCTTGGAAGATAAACACTCTGGGAAGGATAGGATAAAAAAAAATGGGGTCTTTGGAAAAGAAGAAAAAAAGGATTTTTCCCCAGAAAATATTGCTCCTGTTGTACTCAGGTTTTCACTTAGTTATTTGCATTTTTAAAATTTATTTTTACCAATAAGGACAAGCAATATTAAAAATATAGTTTCGATGTACCAATAAAGTTTCTAAATTAATCTTGAAAGGAAAAGGAGCTGGGAGTGGTAGTGAAGGATGTTGTTCAAGAAAATCTATTCAAAATTCTATTTTGCTTCCTGTTGACACACTGAATTTGGACATGCTCACTTTGGACCGCTCTTCTCCATAATAGATGCCCATAGCCAGCTGTTTCTCCATGTCCAATAAGTTTTTGCTATACTCGGTCTTGGAAAAGCGAGGAATATTGGTTTTGGAAATTACATAAAGGCCGGGATGCAGCCACCTTTGTTCTCTCTGCCAGGATCCATCCCAGGTCTCTCTCCACTTCTGGGAGTAATTATAAGTTTAATGTGTATTCTCCAAGTTAACAAGTGAAAGTCTACCCAGTGAAAGAAATATGTCATGTATGGTTTTGTCAACTTACACCCCCCCAATCTTTTTGAAAAGTCAATATTCCATTGACAAGATCTAAAAACACTGTGATATGTAGACGTTGGTCAGTCCAACAAAGTCAAGTAGATCTGTGTTTTTTTGTGTTTATTCCTGTGCCGATGGAAAATAGGATTATTTCCAAATCTCTGTTAATTTAAACAGTGGTTTACTGAGTAGCTTTGTATATAGAAAGAGAACAACTGGGTTGTATTTATGTTCTTTTCAAGCTTTTCTAAGAACAACCTTAGTAGCTTCCAACTTCTATCTCCACTGGCCATAGGAGAGAGTTCTGGTTTCTCCATGTCTTTGGCCATGTTTTTATATTGTCAGACCATTTTAATTTTCCTAGCCTAAAGGAATGAAAAATAGTATCTTGTTGGACTTCCCCGATTAGTAGTGATCTCTGAGGGGTTTTTTTTAATAATATTTATTTGCCATTTGGATTTCTTTTATGAGTTCCTTGTCCTAAGACTTTGTTTACTCTTTTGAGGTTGACTATTTTTTTTATTGCTCTATGGAACTTTTATGCTATTCAGGATACTAATTAATTATCTATTTTGTGTATGAGGATAAATTTCTCCCAGTCTTTAATTCTTTGTTTTTTGAAGTGTTGACATTTTAATTATTTTTATGTAATTGAATCCTCACCCAAGGACATGTTCACTGACCTTACAGAGGAGACTGATGTGTGGGTCACTGGCCAACAGTGATCACGGAACGCTGCGGATGGCTCATCGAAACACGAGAAAAAACATGCACAGAGATAGAGCAGTTTTTGTGGAGAAGTAGAGATGGAACGGTCACCCCCTCTAGCGGGGAGCGTGCCAATTTACCGTCCAAACCGGCTTTTATTGGGTTCATTTTGCATAAGATTTCAGGTAAAGCACATTACTCCTTGTGAGGAAGTAAGGATCAAACGATAGGTAACAAGGAACTCTGAGGGTCTATTTTGAGTCAGGGTCAAAGAGCTGTAAGACTTTAAGGAACAAACTAACTTCC